GCAACAGTAGTAAAACTCATAAAAATAATCTTGGAGGTCTAACATGGTTGGGGGTTTTGTTCTGGAGTTTTTTGTTTGGTTTTGAATCTGTTTCACGTGGGCCTCGGGAGTGAGTTTGTCCCGGATATGCCTGCCAATATTCAGTCCTGGGTGCTCCTCTTCCACCGTCCAAGGAGGCCCTAGAATTCCTAAGTCACAGAAAGGGTTTGAGCCCCATCCCGTTCACCACTCCCGCACAGCCCAGTGCTGCCTCGAGCTGACCTCTAAAACTCAGCAAGGTCAGTCTGGGAGTGAGTTCCTGAGCTTAGCTGTTCCCTTGGCCTTTGGTCACCTACATACACATTTTGGCAACGATGATTCAGCTCTGCTGATGATTCACCCTTTCCTAGAAATTAGGAAGCTTTATTGCTCAAGCTCCTATTTAGAACTCCTTGACACCTCTAAGAAGGTTCAATAGAAGGGGAATGTTATTCTTTAGCTGCCTAGATACTAGATTCCTGCAGCCTGCGCAGCCCATGTTCTGGCATCTACCGAGGCCAGGCCCCAGGGCGTTCGCTTAAGAGGAAAATGCTTCCACTACCTCTTCCTGTGAACAACCCACTTTGGCCAACCCCAGTCTGCTTAGCCCATCAGCATTTACAGTCCTGGCACCCTTTGCAAGTTGACAACATCATCAGGCCACAAGGATGGTTAATAAACCAACTGGATTTATTGACGAGTTTCTTCTCATACAATCCAAACACAAGACGTGAGGGTAGAATGAAGCATCCTCGTGCTGTTGGGACTGGCAGTGGTGGCAGCATTCCTGAGAGCTTAACTGCGTGCCAACGAGCTCTCTGAGTAGCAAAGTGCCTCAGGGCAGAGCAGGACTCGGGAGCACTCAACTCAGGTCCTGGTGGGGCCATGGACACGTGTGTGCATGGACGGTTAGTGAAGTGAAGAAGAGCATCCACATTCTCCCCCCTGGAGACCCCACACAACTAAGGGCCCGTATGTGGCGTGAGCAACAGCTGGCTCACCTGCTTTCATGCCCTTGAAGTCAAGAGGATACAGCCTGTCACTGCAGCAAAATATCTCTTGCCTACTTACCTGGCCTGACACTGAGATACCAGATCCTTGGCAATCCTACTGTGGCTGTGCGTGAAGGAGAAAAGAAACGAGACATAGGGAAGAAAAGAAGAGCCTGGCTTGGCCCCAGTCGTCGAGCTTTCATCAGCCTCTTTTCCTGTCCTGAAAATGGGAGGGGGGCTTTTCTTTTTAGGTTGTTGTGAGGCATAACATCTAAAGGTGATGGCCAGATGTTTTGAAAATGTTTGAGAGCTTTCAAAGAATGCATGCTGTTAATCACCACATCTAATACTGTTGACTCTAAGAGTTTTTGCCCCAAATCGATCTGAACATGTTTTAGCTCTGTTCTTCCTGACAACAGCTAGGACCTGTTGAGTGAAACACGCATTTTTGAGCCTATCAGAGCTGCATGTGAAGCTGTTACTGGAACTAGCAGTGGAGGACCAGGCTGACTCTGTAAATCTTTCCTGGCTGGAACTTGCAAACTTTTGGTTGTGTTTACTCAGAATGTTAATAATTTCGGAAATTATTAAAATGGAACCAACATACTTTCTTTTTAAGAGACTATTGAGATCACAAATCATTCTGCAAATATAATAAGCTGTGTAAGCTGAACGAGTCCAATACTCAAAGCTTGCCATGAGCCCGCTGGAAGCATGGCCATTTTCATAAGACACTTCATGTGTGGAACGAAGGAGGCATGAGAAAAGTCCTTTGAAAACTCAGCCTCAAAATTTCAGTAATCGTCTTGGACAAAGTGTTTTTTAAAAAAAAGAAAATCTTCCCTTTTTTCCCCTCTCTGCTCTCAAATTTCCTACTTCCGTTGGCCCATGTCATGTCCATTTACCTCACAACCACACTTACCTAACTCCAGTGTCATTCCCTGGAGGAATCCTTTTCAGGTTTTAAGAGACCCATTTAGCTGTTAGTTCCGAGGCATCTTCTGTTCCCTCTCCAGGAAAAATGGATGCTCTTCCTCTGTGCCCTCACTACTCACTATCCCCCAGGGCCACTGGTGCCCATGGAAATCACTTGAAGCAATTCTTTAAGATACATTTCTCAAAGTCCACCCCAACTTTACTGATTCAGAATGTTTTGGGGTAGAGCTCAGGAACCTGCAGTCTAAAGCGTCCCAGGTGACTCAGATGTTACTGGTGCCAAGATCACTACCAGGAGAGCCTATGCCATTGTTTCTATGTAACTGTCGCACTGTCATTTGCATGCCTTTCTCTCTCTCCTTAATTGCAAGCGTGTGGAAGGCAGTGAGACATGTGATATTCATAGTTCATTCAATGCATGTTTACTGAATGCCTACTATGAACCAGGCACCGTTCTGAGTGGAGGGCAGACAGTAAAGGACAAAACAGGTGGTCCTTCTCTCTTGGACCTTACATTCCAGTGGAGGAAGTCAGACAGTACAAAAAGAAATAAGATCATTAAATACTCTTTTATAAAATGGCAGGTGCCACAGAGAAAACAAAGCTGAGAAGGAGACATTGAACGCCAGGGTTGTGGGGAAGTTCCCACGAAGCCCTCACTAGGAGGTGACGATTGAGCAGACTTGAAGAATGTGTGGGAGAAGGCCATACATGGGGGCTCCTACAATTCTGGGGGAAAGGCTCTAGAGCAGAAGACTGCCGAGCACATTCTAGAAACAGAAAGGTGATCAGTGTGACTGGAGCGGAGTGAGCAAGGAGGAGAGAGTGGGGAGGAGGACTCATGAGATAAGGATAGGGCAGCAAATCTCGGAAGGGCTCATCCAACACTGGAAGAACTTTGTCTTTGTCCCAGAGGAAGGTACTGGAATTCACAAGGCTTAACACAGTGTTTGGTCCAGAATAAATATTCAATAGATACTTGATGAATGAAGGAATCCTCTGCTAGTTGATATGCAAAAGCCTCTTGTGACTTAGACTAATAACAGTGACACAGAGAAATATTTCAGCTTACATTTTTCATGCTGTACAGTACATCCCAGAATTTATTTATCTTATAACTGGAAGTTTGTACCATTTGACCCCCCATCTATCAAGCCATCTATCTAGCTTAGATATTTTAATACAAATATTTTTAACAAAGAAGCAGCTAAACTCACTTGGAGCAGGATGTGTGGATTTACCGGCTGTGTGATCTTAGAAAGTTATGCAGCCTCTCAGTGCCTCTGTTTCCTTATCCATATAATGGGGGCAATAATAAGACCTGTTTCATAGAACACTGAGAATTATGTTTATACATGCAAGGAAACTGTAGGAGTGTCTGATGTGTTTCAAGCGCTAATAAATATTAACTAATCATTAGCATAAATGTATTGAAGACATCTGTCATAATCCAAGGAGCTTAATATGATATATTAAACTTTAGTTATTATATATGTTTATGCCTGCTATATATAATATTATAATGAATATACATCATATAACTATATCATGTGCCATATATATAATTTTTACATGCCATTTTGGGGGGTAAAGGAATGAGAGTTTCATGCAGATCTATGAGTGGTGAAGTACACAGAGAGGGAGTGAATAAATGTGAAGATCATGATGATGATGATGACAAGGATGAAGATGAGAGTTATAGTTGTAGATGGAGATAAGAATCATCTCTACTGGGGAGTGTTGCTGTCCCTGGGGGTATTCATGAAAATATAGCAATGAAAACTATGAATTAAATTTTGAAGAAGTCCATCTATCACTCGGACTTTGGTTTGCTTCCTACAGGACATGGTTTAGAGCAAGAACAGTTTCTCTCTAGTCCCCACTCCTGCTGGACTTGTGTCACGGTCCCCTAATCCACAGACTGAAGAAATAGTCCATTCATGAGAGTCACTGCTGCATTGGCCTAAGGCCGTGTTCACATAGCCTTGGAAATTTCTTTTCTTTTCTTTTCTTTTTTTTTTTTGGTTATGAAGATTGGCCCTGAGCTAACACCTGTGGCAGTCTTCCTCTATTTTGTATGTGGGTTGCTGCCACAGCACGGTTTGATGAGTGGTGTAGGTCCACACCTGGAGTCAGAACCTGTGAACCCTGGGCCGCTGAAGTGGAGCGCACCCAACTTAACCACTACACCACTGGGCCGGCCCCAGAAATTTCTTAATTCACAACTGGAAAGTGGTTTCCACTACAAGAATCTAATTCATGACTCTCAATTGAACTATTTGAAAATCTTTGTGCAGACGTTAAATGTTATTTATTATTTGTAACAGTTAACAGAGGTGCAAAGTGCAAATATTAATTTTCCTAATCTATGTCCATTTCTTTCATATTCATTTTTAAGACACTTGTGAACCATGCCCACCTTTCCTTCTGTTTTTAGTAATTTCCCTGATCATATCCATGTCTAGTCGTCAATTTTGATGGCTCTGGAGGCAGACTCCTGACTCCAAATCTTGGGTCATTATTTAGTGATTGTGCCACCTTGGGCAAATTCCCCAACCTCAGTGGGCCTCAGTTTCCTTCACCGTAAAGAAGGGATAATCAATTATGCCACCTCCAACTTAAGGCTGTTTTGAGGATCAATAGAGACATACACGTAAAGCATTTAGGACACTCCAGGCACTCACTACAATGAGTAAGCGTTGGGTATTAGCTGTCATTGGTACTTGGGCAAACTGGCTTGAGCTATTCTGACAGACTTTGCTTTGCAATTCTGTAGTTGCGCGTCATGTGTGTTTTCTAACTGTATTATTAATGACTGACCGTTCTTTCCATCTCCTCGCCTTCGGGGCAGTATTTAGGACATCTCCCCTGCTGTCTGTAAGTGCACCATACAACCACTTCTCACCTCCAGCTGCCCCTGGGCATCCAGCAGCCAGCCCCGCCCCACCTGCCTGCAGCGCCCATCACACCATAAAGCATTCAAGGGAAACCGGTGGGTGCCGCACGCGCTCGCCCGTCCCAACCAACCCCTCTAACTCTTCTCTCTCGTTGCAGGATGTTCTGGAAGCTGTCCCTGTCCTTGTTCCTGGTGGCCGTGCTGGTGAAGGTGGCGGAGGCCCGGAAGAACCGGCCCGCGGGGGCCATCCCCTCGCCTTACAAGGACGGCAGCAGCAACACCTCGGAGAGATGGCAGCACCAGATCAAGGAGGTGCTGGCCTCCAGCCAGGAGGCCCTGGTGGTCACCGAGCGCAAGTACCTCAAGAGTGACTGGTGCAAGACGCAGCCGCTGCGGCAGACGGTGAGCGAGGAGGGCTGCCGGAGCCGCACCATCCTCAACCGCTTCTGCTACGGCCAGTGCAACTCCTTCTACATCCCGCGGCACGTGAAGAAGGAGGAGGAGTCCTTCCAGTCCTGCGCCTTCTGCAAGCCGCAGCGCGTCACCTCCGTCCTCGTGGAGCTCGAGTGCCCCGGCCTGGACCCCCCCTTCCGACTCAAGAAGATCCAGAAGGTGAAGCAGTGCCGGTGCATGTCCGTGAACCTGAGCGACTCGGGCAAGCAGTGAGCGCGGCGGGACGCAGCCCGCCCTGCGCGCCCCGCCCGGCCGCCGCCTCCGTCCCCGTCCCCCGAGCCCCCCGCACGCTGCCGGCGCCCCCCGCAGCAGCAGCACGTCGCTGGGGGCCGACGGCGTCCTTGCACGAGCGCGGACCGCAAGTGGAGCTTCGCTGATGTGTTCCTGACCGACCCCGGGCCTCACCTGTGCACCCCCAAGCCAGGCTGCGTACCAGGCCCGAAGGAAGATGCTGGAAAACCACCGCCCACCACGCAGCCGTCGGAGAGGATCGTTCAGGTGATGCGCCGTCAATCCGGCGTGGATGTTTCCACCATGTGGAAAAGCGAATATTGCCCCGGCCTGACCCTACACTCCAGCTCGCCCCTTCCCGCGTGCAGGGGAGGATGCGTCCGCCCGCAGAGCAGCCCCTCAAACCTCTGCGGGTCCCCGGACCGCTGGCCGGGAGCGTCCGCTCTGGTGACTCGAGGGCTGCCCTCTGCGCTGCTGTGATGCGGCTTCGGACAACGTCCATACAGAATGTCCTGGACTGGGAGGTTCTCCTAACGAAGCTGATGCCGAGAAGACAACTTGAGCCACGTGGATCACGAAGTGGGCTTCCCTGGGGACCTTGCTCACAGCAGGCCACACTCTCCCCCACCCCCAGCCACCACCGCCTCTTCCCCCTCACTTCCCTCACCCCCATCCGGGGACTAAAGATGAACTCTGGTGTGCATGCTATTATCGCTGCAATTAGAATATTATTACACACGAAGGTCTCCATATTAACGCTGGTTTCATAATTGACCTATAGTGTAAAGAGCTGTTAAAAAGTATTATAGACCTCTCCATGTATTGTTGCACGTGTTTTCACTCTGGCTTTGCAGCGGCATTCTGAGTAAAGACCAGTGCAGGTGTGACCCGCACGGAAGGTGTTTTCCTCAGATATGATGCCTGATCAGCAGTTCACTGTCGTGCACCAATTCTTAGATTGGGCGCGGAGATGGGAGGAGCTGTGATTTTACATTGAATTTGTATTTCACTGAAGACACGAAAGCGTTGTGGCACGTGTAGGATATTGGGTTGTGATGGAAGGGTGTAGGGAGGGGGATGGGTTGAGAAGTTGTTAACCTAAAGGTCAAAAATCGCTAGAATATTTAATATGCATATATGGAGTGAGAAGGTATACTATTTCACTCCCATGACACCAAGCAAAAAATATTTCCTGTTGGAAGAAAGAAATATTTAAAATTATAAGGAGTTGAGTCACTTAGTGGTATAGGAGGAAGTAAAGGCTAAAATATATAGAATAGAAATCTAGTTGAATTGTCCTATAGAACACAACTAGCTTCCTTTTCAAAGAATGGACTTTAAAAAGGCTGAGCAAACATTAGATCACCTTTCACTTTTTATTTGAAATGTTGGGGTTTTCATGTTGTGGTTTCTTGATATAAAGTTGACATAATTTATTTCCCTGCAAAGTTATACCTACTTTGAGTCCCTTTGCTAAATTGCCCCACTAAAAGCTTCCCTGTGAGTCATGTTTATGGAATCTGATAAATGTGAATGAGATGCCATTGGTGGGAAACAGCGTACTTTGAAGACTTTTCACTGGTAATGCCTAAGCACTCAGTCTCAAGTGCTCCTGGCCAACGGACTCAGAAAGGCCTGATTCCTAGTTGTGTGAGAGATCCTCTTCAAGCTGCCCTGGGAACTGAGGCTTTCTGACGGTAGATGGTGGTGAGGCGTCTAGAGACATTCACCTGGAGAGCAAGGGTCTGGGTGGGATGTGGCATGTTTGTGGGCGAATCCATTTTCTGCCCCTGCACAGCTGGTTTCATTTCTGCTACTTCTATAACACCATGAGACCTGAGCAGAATGTGCTATTATAAAGGGGATCTTGGCTTCAGAAATGGGTTTATACAGCCCTAAATCAGGAGGCAGAACTCAATAGAAATCCTTAAGGGCTTGAACCTGGATGGAGAGAAAGAGTGGAGAGGGTGTCCAAGCTCAGAATTGATTTTTGCATTTAGTGGAAAACCTCAAGTCAGACTCAGCGGAAGGACACGCAGCAGAAAGGCCGTGAAGGAAGGCGGTGCATGCGATTGTAATGGAGGCTAATGGACTGGAGTAGAAGGGAAAAGAGGCGAGAATCCTGCCCACTACAAAGCCAACAACCACTGTCATTTGATTAACACAGACCCAAGCAGACAAAGGAAGGATTAAGCTATGAACTCACAGAATACAAACATGAGCACACTCTCTTGGAACCCAATTGTGGATGTAGCAATAGAAGCAATACGATATGCTGCAGTGTGAAGCTCCTTCTGGGGGTTCTTGTATGTACAAAGTTTACCTTATAATGGCTCAAATTGTATTTAATTGTTTTTTTTTGTTTGTTTATAAATGAAGAAAAGCTATAAGTATAATGTAATTATTTTATAGGTGTACTATTAAATTATAGAACAAATAAAGATACTCTAGGATTATATGTGATCCTGGTGTGATGTGCCATAAAAATGGAATTCTGAACTTGTTTCAGGGCACAGCGAAGAGCACTGTGCATTCAGAATGCTTTTGTCCAGCCATGGTGAGTTCAACCCCTAGCCTGCGTGACACTATCTGCTTTGGGGCCTGGTGTCTTCAAAGAGAATCAGAATCAGGCACCCAAGGAGCAGAGGCGGTGGGGATGGCTCTCCGTCCTGGTATTGGGAGTTTCCGAGCCTCTTACAGATCCCCCAGCAGCTGAAGACAGAATTCTGAACCTGTTCTCACTATGCTCTTTGAATAAGACATTCTGAACGAGGAAGCCTTGAGAAACTGCTGCGAATAGAAGTCTGCTGTAAACCTCGTCTTCCCTTTAGCAGCCAGTGCATTACACTGTTTCTACAACAAGCCAGAATTTGTCCTGAGTTTTGTCCATTTTCACATTCACTTTTCACGAGTTTCAACATTTCTTAATTTAAATACTTCTGAGTTTCACAGTCTCCATTTGTCTACTAATTGACGTACCTATCATTCAAAAAACTCAATTACCAATAAAAAATAAAAACAATAAATGGCATATGGTTGATTCACTGTATGGATTTCAAAGGAATTAAACTTACTAATAAATAATTCATCTTAGTTTATTGAATGAGACAGATAAATACTCCACTTAAATGAGATTCAGATATTCCAATTCACTTGTTTCTGACTTTTAAGTTATGAAGTCAATGAAAATGAATTTTTGCTATTGAGTGAACAACTTAGAGCTTAGACAGCTCATTTGATGATCTATCACCACTGATTATTAATGTCTGCATGGGGGATAACCAATAAGACCAAATCATAACAGAATTAAAATTTGATGATCAGGTTATCTTCTGAATCCTTCTTAACCCCCATCCCTGCCACCCTCTTCACCCAATCCCACTGCCACTACCTCTCAAGCACAGCAGATGGCTGATGTCCTTTGTGGAAAGGCAAATACGGGAAACCATGCAGTTTTTGTTGTTGTTTGTATCCATTGGCATTTCTGGGTTGCTGGCTTCTCTAGCAGTCATTCTGGGATATATGAGGGGGAAAAAAAAAACACACCAGGGAATTCCCTGCCATATCATTACTTGAATCCCGAGGTTCCTACCTGGTCTGCCTTCCTTTCTCCACCTTTTAGAGCCTTATTCTGTTTGAGAGAGAGAGACATATATACATACATATATATATATATTTCAGAGTCATTAGTGGGAGGAACAGGGAGAATGTGTTTACTCCATCTTGTCTAGAATCAGAAGTCTTCTGACTCTTTGTAAGGTTTATCACCTATTCTCTAAGGTTTATGGTATATAAATCTTCGAGTTAGCTGAATATGTGGTGTATAATCCAAGACCTCCAACATACTTGCCCCATATCTCTGATATGGTTCTGTTACACGATGTCAGTCATATGGTGGACCATTATGATGTTTTATAGAATGTCCATAAAATCCAGGTCACTTCAGATGATATTTTGACAAAGGGTGTAAGAACTTACATAGATTTGGAGGCAAACCCATAAACATTCCTATGGGAATGCCAACAGCATCTGGTTCTCCTTCCTGATAGGTATGGCAAAAAATTTTGCTAGATCAAGTGCTGGAGGCTGTTTCAATCTGCTCTAGCAAAGAAACCCCATTGAGCACAGTAGCTGCAACCGGGGTACTGCCCTGCCGCCTGCCATGTTCCATTTGATTTCTGCAGGGGTTGGGCTGGTGAAATACATGGGGATATGGCAGGGGCTACTACAATATTAAAGTCTTTGAAGGTTTCATTAATTTTCCCCATTCCCTCTGGAACTCAGCATTGTTTTTGATTTACTCTTTTTGCTGGGGTAGGAAGCCTCCACTTGCCCTTCCCCACTATAATAGCTCTTACTCAAGAAGTCAAGGGTCAATGTGAGGGATCTTCAAACTACTAAGGGTGTCCCTTTCAGTTATGCATTTGGAGACGAGGGAAAGGACCACCAGGTTTGTCCACGGACCAGTGGGCCCCCTGAGAGCCAGATCTTGGGTAGACCTCTAGTGGCCCTTATATACCTACACTTTAAGAGGGAGCCACGGTGCTTCATTGGGTCTCCAGGTATTAGCATCAATTCAGACCAAATGTTCAATAATCCTCAAAAGTTCTGAGCATTCCTCTTTTCGCCACAGCACAGTTACCTGCATAAGTAGTCCTAAGCTCCTTGATTAAGTACTAGGGGAATAACAAATGAATATATCTGCCCTGTCTCACAGGGTCTTTACTCATAATCAGCCTCTCCTTCAGCAGATGGGTTCCAAGTCTAATCTGAAAACTAAGCAAGGGATTGTGATTTTTAATGAGATACTGCCCTCTACCTTTGGTCATCCATCATTGATTTCTTTTGACTATATAAATTAAGCAATACCCGTATCGGCAGCCCATCTATCTTACCTCTAGGAACACCACGTTCTATTAACCAGCTCCAAGTTAGGACCCTCTGGATGCCACTCCAGTCCCACCACTCTTTGCAACATGTTACTTCTGAAAGCTAAGCACTGGCACCTGGCTTATATTATTTTGAAA